TTTCATCATCGGAAGTCGAGGCAGAATACGAAATTCCACCCGTATCACCTCGTGATCGTTTTTTAACGCAGTTTTTCCGCGCACCACCACTATACTAAAGTATTTCCGAACCAATTAGACTTATGATCCTTCAAGAAAAGAGCGTGCGGATTCTTAAAAGGCCGGCAACGCACTCGCGAGCTCTCTGGCATTGAGAGGGTCCATGGGTCACTTATCATCAGGTACTACCCGTTTGCGCCGTTCTATAAAATTTTACAAAATTATCGACTGATGTACTACATATATTGATTTTGAATTATTGGCAATAACAACCAAAGATCATCGTACAATATAAATTGTAATTTTTTACTCCATTTTCATCGCTTTAATCAAAGATACATAAAAGTGAATCCGCAAAATCATGTTCTGGTAATAACGGGTTGAGCGTCTAACGTGATCAATTGATCGGGGACGCCGGGACCCCAAGTAAATTACACAGCAGATTTAGGTGATAATTAAACAGGAATGATTTATATGCTTTATTTAATATAAGGGTTAAATTGTTGTGACAAATAAAATCAAGGAAGGTTTTCATTAAAATAGCTATTTATCATGTCATATTTCCAATAGTAGACGAGTTGTTCGGAAATACCTGCAGCTGAGTATTATCGGACGTCAAGGCAGAATACAAGATACCATCCGTATTACCTGGACGTCCGTTGTTCCACAACTGAGCGTTGTTTCAGGCAGTTTTTGCCTTCTCTATATGGAATAAGCAGCCCACTGAAGTATTTCCGAACCAATACAACTTAGGGTCATTTAGGAAAAGAGCATACCTATTCTTAAAAAGCCGGGAACGCACTTGCGAGCCTTTTGGCAATGTGAGTGTATGTCCATGGGCGGTGGTATCACTTAACATCAGATGAGCCTACCGTTTGCCTCCTATGACATCATTTTTTTATATTTTTCGGAGTGGCTACTGTTTCAGATAGTTTTGTTATAATTCTGTTGATTAATTAAATAATAATTGTGTACAAGATAAAATCGCTAAAGATAAATTGATAGAGCCTTATTTTATTTCAAAATCCTTAATTTACATTTCAATTTAGTATAGTAATGTTTTTTTTTTTTTTAAAGACATTACAATTGACCTACCCCATGCTAAGCTGGTGAAGCTTGTGTTATGGGTACAGCAACGGAATACTACTTTATAGATAGATACTTTCATATTTAAACACCCAAACCTAACACAACACCAAATGCTCATCACATCGATGTTCGTCTCAGCCGGGGACGAACCCGGGACCCATGGATTCGCAGTCACAACCACTACACGTCAAATGTTAGTATTTAATTATAGCTAAATGTTAGTAGTAAAATGTAAATTACTGGCCCACTATGTATATGGACCCCTTAGGTAAAGCCAATATCGGGCAGCCTATTCCACAACTAATAAATACTCTCTGTTTTGTATTTTTAGTTGCTACGTACCGAATAGCGCTAACTTTTCTTGCCAAAGGTGCTTTAATAATTTTCAACATACCAGGATATTATCAGCACATAAGAGGTTTGGTTGAATAGCTCTTTCCCTAATAGCGGTTATCTTGACAAGAGCCCTTTATCACGTCGCCTTACAAGGTAAATAGGCCCCTAATGGACCTAATAGATGACGTTGTGGGCAGTAAGTTTTATGTGTATTTTTATAGTAGAGTAGAATTTTTATAGTAAAATGCACTCTTTCGTCTCTTTCCATCAAATGATATTCATGCTGTGATAGAAAGAGACAGATCTCTTTAGTTGTAACGGTGGAATGAGACTTATTTTTTATGAATAAAGAATAAGAAAGCGTCAAAGTTTCTTTAATTCCAACATAATTGGTTGTTTTTATTTCATTTTGTTACATTACGATCAATCTTACATATTAAGGCCGCATAAAATTTGGATAGTAATAATGAAAAACATCTTTTATTTTATAGTGTAAGATCGAGGGCACAATGTTTGGTAACTTTTAGTTTGTACCGTTAATGTGCTGTCAATAAAGTAGTGAAGTTAGTCACGCGATGTAGAAACGATTACATATTGTACATACATTGTTGACAAAACATTTCAAACACGTAAAACATAACATGGTTCAGACTTAAGAATACTAATACAGTATACAATATAATTTTAGTAACTTATAATATTAAAGTTTCTTGTATTTTTATTTTATCTTCTATATATTATAATTGTAGGTATGTGGTAAACTTGGTCTCATCTCCTTCGGACAAGCAAAAAAGCTGACGCGGCCGCAGAACAGGCAGAAATTAACAAACGGCACAAATATAAGAGTCTTTCCTCCAACTTCAATTTTGTTCCCTTTGGAGTAGAGACTCTTGGGCCGTGGGGTTCAAGTGCACAGGCGCTTATTAAAGATTTAAGTTGGCGCCTGGTAGATAGTACCGGTGACCACAGAGCTGGCACTTTCCTGGCTCAAAGAATAAGTCTCGCAATACAGCGAGGAAATGCTGCCAGCGTTAAAGGTACACTGCCACAGGGACCAAACTTTTTAAATTTGTTTTGATTTTCTTCTTTCTTCTTTAATTATTTTTATTATTACTTTATAGTTTAAGAACATTGTAAATACTGTATTTGTGTAAATAAAATTAGAAAATGTGATTAGAATTTCATATATATAATATATATATATTAAATGAAGGATAAATAAAAAAATAAAAAAATTTACACAGAATGTAGGCAATAACAAAGTCAAATATATAATATATTTCCCATACACATAATAAAGGGGTCAGATATGTGAAGGAAGGATGATGTAAGGGTGACTGATAGTTGACAGGTCAGGTCAAAAATCAAAATTCAAAAATTATTTAATCATATAGGTAACACATTGTACACTTATGACTTGTCAGTAAAGAAATACATAATATTAATGCCTCTAATTTTACATTTAGTGCCAGTTCTCAAATCAAGGGCGTAGAACGGAAGAGAAGAACTGGCAATAAACTCTCCGCCACTCTTTTTAATCGCCATGTTTTTTTTAAACACAACGTTTGTAAGGAGCTGCAACCATTACACCATGTTCCACATGACATCTTAAGCAATTAATAATAATAACATAAATTAAAAACAAGGACTTGTCCTCTATCAGCAGGAGGCTTGGTGAAATAGGAGCACACACTTACATTCTCGTGGGAACAACACGCAAACACATAGTCGAAATAATTAACATCACCGCATACACGAATTCAAGTACGACCAGTCACCACAAGTAGCACCCGTTCACGAGTATGTCGGGGTGTTTTGGCAAGCGTAGCTCGCCCGGGCCCTGTGGCTGAAGCCGAGTTGCTGGCAGGTATATATACTAAGGTATATATACCGAAATACTTAACCGCGATTCAGGACATGAAATCATCATACTTGTGCAGATTGAAGGTAACGCTGCAGATGTATATGCAACATATACAGGGATATTTGGTTAGTATTAATTCTTATTACTAGAAAAGTTAGTTCTTGTTACTGTTCTGGCATAATATGGTTTAAAAAAATTTTATAGAAATATATAGTATAGTTCAAATAGGAATTTCCGCCTGCATCCTTTGTCATAATTATTTTTCAGTTTCTTTGAAGTAAGTTCCTAGTTGTTATGCATAGTTGGAGATCTAAGAAAACGGTGATTTTAAATAACCTGCAAGCGAAGTTCCATAACTTTTCAAACAATAAATAATATCGTTTTTCGTCTCATATTTTAAGTGATGGACCGGTAATTCTTTTTTATTGATAAATAACCAATTTTTAAATAAGAAGAAAAATTAGCCTATTCGCTTAGCTCCTTCTATCTTCCTTTAAATTTCTTCTACACAAATATTACCTACTAACTGACGTGAGACTGATCTTAAATTATCTTAATTCATGTGCACTTTTTATTATTCATGTATCCTTTATTAGTTTAGTTTGTTTTTTGTTCCTGTTTAGTTTTTTTTCTTAATAACTATAGGTATGTAATATGTATTTTTGCACTTCTTTCCTACCTTATCTAATTTAATACATTTATTTTTGGGGGAAAAAAAAAAAAAAAAAAAAAAAAACGACAGTTGTCCTCCTTTTCATTTAATTATGTTCAATTTTTATATTTTAATGCAACGATGTGTTAATAAAATAAATAAAAGGTTTAATTTGATATACCTCTTTTTTTTGATAAATTGATGTTGCATTTTTTATTTATTCTAGCAAAAACTAAGAAACATGACACTTTAAAAAACACTCTTTTGCATAATGCAGATAAAATTATGACAAATAGTCACCCCAGCCATCGGGAATACATCGAATTACTAATAACCCTCTATAATATGTTCTCAATTTTCGTAAATAACTAAAGACGTAAGTCACCTTTGTGAACTAATAACATCACAAAGGTGAGGTCCGTAGAGTATTGCATTTTTTATTACTGTACAATGCGAGCGAAAGAAAAAGCTTTGTCATTGAATTTTTTATGTATTTTTCTATTAAATTCACAAACATAATGTATGAAATAAAACTAGGTAATATTTATATAAAATATAGAGGACAGCGCTTATGAGTGCTCAAAATAGAAGAGGGCAAACGGGCAGGAGGCTCACCTGATGTTAAGTGATAAGTCTCCCTTTGATTTGATAATTGGTTCGGAAATAATTTGCGTGGTGGCGGCAAAAACTGCCTTAAAACGCTCAGCCCTGCGATTCTGTAACTCAGTTTTCGAACTCACACAGCGGTTTTCGCATCGGCGGTCGCTCACAAATCAGTCGTGAAGCAGTCATTTTATGATTTGGCATTCGTAAAAGGTGGGAGCTTGTAGTTTATTGTTTATCAGAATGTGTGAGTTCGAAAAGTGAGTTACAGAATCGCAGGGCTGTTGTGGAACGACGGACGTCGAGGTGATACGGGTGGAAATTTCGTATTCTGCCTTGACGTCCGATGATAAAACTCAGTTGCAGTTATTGATCCGAACCACTCCGCTGAACACTACCCATGGTAAATGGGGTAGAATGCCGCCCAGAGGTGAGAACTTGCACTTTATAGAGTGGTAAGCGGTGGTCCGGATCTACTTTCAATTCTGGGTATTTAGCGTAGTTTCTCTACAGAGATAAGAAATAAAGTTAATTATTAAGGTACGGTTTGACTTACGGTCAAAAAACGCTTTTAAATAACCCTAAGATTGGTTTTCATGCGATGTGTTTTTATTAACTAACTTTAGTTGCCGTTCAGGAGTTGTTTTTTTTAATACATTCATCTGAGTTTCATTGTCGGACGTCAAGCGGAACCAATTCTTATTCCTGCCCGTTTGACCCTTGTTCTATAAAAAATTGATTGATATTGAGTGTTGATATTATCAACAATTTATTTTATTTATTTATTATGATTTAAGTTGATATTTTCTTCATACAATACAAGACAAACCCAACTATTTCAAATTCCAGGTCTAATACAAAGTATTTACGTAAGTTATGAACCGTATATCCTCAGATTTTAACACAAGTTACCAACATATAAATATATAATATATTATGTAACTAAAATATACTTTTAAAAAAATATAAAAAACTCTGGCTTAAAAATTTATTAATTTTCGCTTTGTTATTCTTCCTTTTTATTAAATATATATAATAATGATCAATGCATCTTGGAATTTATTATAAGTATACATATGTTTTTATTTTTATTTTTGTATAAATAGGTAAAAATTGTCAGCTGTAATTTATGTTATCCTAAGCAAATTATAGGAAGAGATCGAACCCCCTGGAGGTACCGTCATTTATACCGTTCAGAGCTGAAATTATAATTAGGTCTATGGTGAGGAAACGATTAGAAATTAGCAAATATTCCACTCACAACACCACTGTATTACAATGAACGTTGTATGTGTTTTGTGTTTGTATGTTTCTTTATATACAGTTAACGGAAACGACGAAAGCAATGATTTGGATTCAGGTAATACTTATTGTAAGAATTCATTCCTCGAAAATTTTATAAATTACTAAATCAAAAATAAAATTTATAAAAAAACTATGACAGAAGTATGTTTAGTAATAAATGCAATTGTGTTTTCAGAGGACAAAGACGGTGGATCTTTTAACGCAACTGATTTTTTCACGAACACAACGGGTAGGTTCTAAAATGATACTGTTTTATATTTCCATATATAAGCGATAGACTGATCGGTCAACTGATTGATCAACATTAGCCAAACGTAGACGCCCGATCGTACAGTTTGACTAATGACAAGATGACAGGTCTACGATTCCTCTAGCATAAAGAGAAGACCTAGACCAGACTATCTACTGATTCACTCATAGATGTTGCTACGTATTGTTTTGTTTAAATTGTCACACTGGCAGTGATAACGTAAATATATGGAGTTCCTTCCTTTAGTAGTCCATACCCAAAAACTCAACAAGTTTAGGCCGGCAACGCACACGCAAGTTATTGAGTGGCCATGGACGGTACTACTTAACATCAGGTGAGGATCCTACCCGTTTGCCGTTTCTACAAAAAAACATGTGTGTGTATTTATGTAACAAGATAAAAAATCTTTTCAAAAAAAATTTATTTCGCCTTATTCTACGTTTGAAGAAAAAACGACGCTAACAATAGAAAAAAATACTCTCATCATTTTCCCCTAAGGCGCCAAAAGAACGATAACTTCAAAAAAAAACTAAAATGTTGACTATCGCTAACTTCAGGGTGTTGGATTTTTGTGACGGTGTGCGCGCGCATCGTAAGAAATACTCTCATCATTTTTCCCTAACGCGCCAAAAGAAGTATAACTTCTATAAGTGAGCGATATCATCTAAACATGATTTTCTATTATTTTAGACGACATTGATGACAGCGAGGAGCGTATAGGCGCAGCTGTCACGCAAGTGTTTAAGCATCCGTATGCTGCGTCACTCCTTAAGAATTACACGTTCGTGTGTAGCGCTGTAATTCTAAACACATATTGGGTCTTGACTCTAACGAAGTGTTTTGATTCGTAAGTAATTCATTATTACTATTCGCATTTGGTTACAAACGCACCATATCATTAAAATTCCAGATCTATGAACAAAAATTAACTTAATTATTAATATATATAATATAATACAAATATAATATTATAAGTAACCTTACAGCTACACATATCCATATTACGCAAGAAAACTCTTAGACAATATACAAAGCCAAACAAAATATACAAGTATATGTAAGTTATTAGTTAGAGTATACTCCTCCGTCAAAGGCCGGCAACGCACCCACTAAAAATGGGTGTCCATGTGTATGACTGCCCTTTGTGGGCATTTCGTAGGCTCGATTGCCCTCCTATTATATAAAAAAAAAAAAGGGTGCTGTACTATTACGCGCGTAAGAAGATATACTTCTTGGCATTATTAGAAATAGATTTTGATTGCATGCAAATAATTAATTATAATTAAATAATCAAAGACTGGAAAAGGAGTCATTATAGTCAATAAAGTTCAGTTTACATTTGAAAAATTTAATAAATAAATATTTATAATTATTCTCTTACAAAATAAAAAAATTTTATAATTCATATTATAAAATTTTTAACACATTTATATTAATATAATTATATAAATGTGTTAATAATATAATTTGTAGACATGCTACAGACCTGGATAGCAACTTTCTTTTATTCTATTTAGAGATAGAGATAATTTAAATATAATACCGGTGTCTTCCTTGTAGGTTTCTTTTGAGTTGTTTGGGGATTCTTGTTGATCAGTTCAACATGATTTTCTTTAACCTTTCTTTAATCCTACAAAATAATGAAATTGTTAAGTTATGTTGTCACTGTTGTGCACACCTTTGTTTGCTTTTTTAGTATTCAAGTTATGTCAAAACTGATTTATTACCTTGTCATTGTTGGCTTTATTTGCTTTTGGGATAGCAATTGTTTCCAAAATGATTTTATTTGTAATATCCTGAAATATATAAATAACATCTATTAATTTAATGTCATGGTGAGTGGTTCGCACTCAGGTATTAAGGTGTATTATACCCACTGTCCATTATAAGTGGGAATGGGCTCACTTCTGGCTGGACAGAGTTTCGGTACTACAAGAGCAACATGGATGTTTTGAGGTATTACAATATCTCTAACTACCCTTAGGGGAATAAAGTATGTGCCTATGCTTGAGAGGTTGAGCCTTGAACATCACCATCATATTTATAATTAACATTCCTACCTCGACACCATCACAATCAAATTCATTGAAATCTACTTCAAACCGTTGCGGTATCATCTCTGCCATATCCATTGTGTCTGGAGAAGGTGATGGTGGCTTTGTTCCACCTCTTGTTTTTGATGTTTCACGGCGATAAGTGACAACTCTTTTTTTTATTCAATTTAGTGCACTTCCACTGAAATTGTTTTTTGTCTCTTGTCCTTATATTTGCTAGATTAAATCTGAAAAATTACATGTTTTGATTAAATAATGTATATTTTTTGAGATGCAGGTACTTATTAAAATGTTTACTTCTCTGTAATATCGCTCAAGCCTTCATTTCTCCTATTAGTATTCGTGCTTAAATCTTTGTTCTCAATTATTGAATATAGGGTCGTAGAATATTTCTAAAAAGTTGCTGTAACAAACGCAATAAACAAAAGTTAATTAAGTTCATGTTTCAGTTTTAATCAACAATAATACTCATAATACATACGGATAGTTAACCTCAATTGTATTGAAGCACTCAGGAAGGTTGGCACAGTTTTTTCACAAATATTTTATCATATTAATTAGTATTGATTTAGATATTCAATTTCTGATTATAATTCAGACCACATATAAAATTCGCACTTGTATATGAAAATAACTAGGTACTTTTAGAATCTTTTATTTTAAAATATTCAAATCTATATTTGTTTAAAAGGTAAATGTCATTGTCAGATGTCAATTGTCATGGATATTCAAAATTCTTGTTAAGCTGCTAAGCTAAGAAATAGAATATGCGTGAAGTTAGCTTATATTCTATTTCTTTTGTAGATTGCGCACGCTATAATCACACTCAATTTGTGTCATAGGTCCGGATCGTAAAATTTACTTCATCAAATTTTATAACCGCCTAAAAAGTATAACTTCAAAAACGGAAAACATAAGTCCATTAAGTTACGTTAAGTACATAATTAGATTAAAAAAATCGGTTGTCTGTATAGTCGGTTTACAGACGATAGTTGAACGTGACAACGTCATAAGAAAATACTGAAAACACTGAACTTCATACTTGACGAAAACATGTAGTAAATGTATTATTGTATAGCAGCTGTCCACGCGGACGCATCGGTCACTCAAGTAGGAGAGAGACAGATATCGAACGCTGCCGAACGCGAAAGCCGATTGTGCCTCTTTGTCGCTCGTTCCGCGCTCTCGCTTGCACTTCAAGCCTTAAATGGAACGCCTCAGAGCGAGGTAACGCCGCATGCATCATGTTTTTTCGTGCGTGCAGCCGGCTCCATAGAATTATAAGACGATGGAGCCGGCTGCCAGAAGAATTAACCATTAACGACCACTTAATATTTAAAAAAAAACTAAATTATCACTACTGCTTAATAAAGTCAAAGTCTTCCCGCTTCTTAATATATTTCCTCACAACTTTGGTAAGGTGAAAAATGTCTACAGCTTCATAATTTGTATTGTAGTTAGTTAACACCTGAAACATTGGCGATATTACGCAGATAATTCGTGTTCGTACGAGGCACGGAACAAATATGAATATCCTCCATACTTCGCTGTCCATTCGCAACTAGCTTCTATATTATTCATCAGTTTTCATATATGTAACATTTCTACTTCACTCCCTCATAAGAAAATTCCTGTAACTCGGCGTCAAGCATTTGTCACTTTCAGACAAATTATGTATACGCTATGTTGAAAAGGGACATCTGTTATTTTTTACGATTTACAAGGAGCTTATAATATTGAAGAATAGCGTAAATAATTTAGAAAACCTAATAATTATATTATTCCTGTTTACAAAAGCTACAATAATCAGCCTGAATAAGAGGCAAGATGGAAAATATTATTCCATGGTTAAAGGGTGCCTTTTCCTTATGTGAAAATTTATGGGCTATTCTTGGGGGTTGAGTTTCCCTTTCATTAAGTCAACTGATATTGTAGTATTGGAGCTTATTGTGCAAGTATTCACGAATAAACGGACCTTACAGTTGCTTATAAGCTTTTTCATTAAAAGTTTATAAAAAGAAAATCAGTGGCGCTACAACTTTTTAGGTCTGGGCCTAGGATTTCTGTATCTGTGTCATGATCATTTCTCAATCTAGTAGGCAAGTAGGTGATCAGGCATCTGTGCCTGACACACGCTGTCGACTTTTCGGGTCTAAGCCAATCCGGTTTCCGTAGGATGATGTCCTTCACTGTTCGAGCGAATGTTAAGTGCGCACATAGAAAGAAAGTTCAATGATACAGCCGGCGATCGAACCTATGACCTCAGGGATGAGAGTCCCTACTACAACTATAAATATTACGATTATTGCAAGACATTCTCACAGACAGCTGCAGATATATTAACGTAATGCTTCTAAGAAGAGATAACATGATATTCTGTTTATTGTTTATATTCACTTAAATGTATAATTCTGAATTAGGAGTAGTAAATATGGTTTCTAAGGGCGTATAGAAAGCTTACGAATATCAATCATTTGGGTGATCAAAGAGATTACGATTACACGTCAATAAACTTTCGATATTCAATTTAACCTTAACATTTGCAAATTACTTAGACCCAAGTAATTCCAGTCCATTATCCTTATAATTAAGAGAAAAACTTGTTCAATCCCTTTAATTGTAATCCTAATGGGAGGTTGGTGATTCAAACGAAATATGACCTCTCCTGCGGCATTTTTTATTGAAGTTTGGTTACATAATTTAGTTGACTTGGAAATGAAGCCTACATTTGAATAAATGGTAAATGGCTAAACCTAATTCACTTTTCTCCTAATCTATGTAAGTTAAGTACCGAAACCACATATTTGCGTCAATATATAATGATTTTAGTAGTGCGTTCTGTGTCTGTCAATCTGAAACAGCTGAAAATCGTACCCAGAATTCTGAGTTAGCCATGTGAAACCACTTATTTTTTATTCAAACTAGCTGCTGTGGTCTCTGGCAGAATGACCAGCGGTGTGGAACATTCTGCTCCTCAGCATAAAGCTGAGCCAGGGCCAATTACAGCCACAGCACACACGCATTACACACTTGAAACGAACCGAATGGGAAAAGCTAGTTTTTTTATTGTTTTTGATATCTCTCATTTTATTTTTTTTCTTTGATTATTGTTATTTTGTGTGTTTATGTGTGCGTGTGTCATTGTCTGTAATAAATGTTATGTCTATTTACTGAGGCGAATAGTAGGCCTATATAAAATCAACCATACATATTTGCTATACATATATATACATATAGTTAGTAAATTCAACATACAACGATGTTAATTAATTTTAAATATGCGTGCATAGTTTCGTTATAATTATTAACGTTTTAATAATTATTATTTTTAGTGCGCCTCGTTTCTTAAACAATTCGTACCTTTTAAAGTGTTTCTTGTGAATTCTAAATTTAAATGCTTTTCCAAATGCAAATGTAGTTCTTAATTTAAATGAACACTGTGCCGTTTAAGGGCCATTTATTATAGTATGAAAAGGCAGTTATGCAATGCTTACGATAAAGTGTGTTTGACCCTGGTTAAGGTCGCTAGAGGGCTCTCAACCTCTGTTGACTTTTCGTGAAAACCCTTCAACGTCGAGCGGAAAACGATTTGTAAGACCTATTTTAATGAAAATAGAATGAGTTGCGATTTTAGAGGACGTTTTTACTTAGAAAATTCTGATGTAAGCTTTTATACGGTTCCGTTCCGTTTATTAAATTTTAAGTTTGATAGCTGTTCCAGATTGAGAAATTTATAACGAATTTTTTTATAACACTAAAGTCGTTTTATTGCTCTTATTTTATTAGTCATACAGGGGCTTCCATGTAGAGTATCGTCAGATCATATTGTCACAACCAAATTTTGTTTTGAATACAATTTAATATTAATTGCAAATGCACTTTCAAAGTAATAAGAATAAAATTTTGGTTGATGCACATAATTCAGTGGGCTAAAAGGCCGCCATCTCATTCGCGAGCCCTCTGGGTTTGAGAATGTCGACGGCCGTTTCATTAACACAGGGGGCAAACTCCTGCCCTGTTCTATAAAACAAAAGACTTTTTAGAGACTAACTAATTTATTTAAAACAATACGATTTCCCGATATTAAGTTTTATTTAATATTAATTTTCAATTAAACGTGTAAAAGATGGTTCAATTTTATAATAACCAAAAAGTTACCCATAATAGGTCAACCTAAATTTGGGTCAAAGTTATATAAAAATATAACAATTTGTACGTGACGTCTGCCTTCCTTTAGATCTCCAGGTGACATGGGTCGTTTTGTAATTGTTTTATATAGAATGTAAATATAACGAATGATTTTATTTATTCTATCACGTGACTGTTATTGGAGGGGTTTATTTATTTATTAAAAAGAGTGGCGGAGAGTCTATTGCCAGTTCTTCTCTTCCGATCTACGACCTTGATTTAAGAACTGGCAGTAAATGTAAAATTAGAAGCATTTAATGTATATTTCTTTTTTGACGTTCATAAGTGTACATTGTGTTACCTTTATGAATAAATGATTTTAGACTTTGACTTTGTCTATTGATATGTAATTTATAATATAATAAATAAAAATAATAACATGTTAGAAGCTAAGTGTCAACTATTCCTGGTCCAGAACAAGAGCCTATAACTAACAGAACACAAGGGGTAGAGGGTAGGGCAGGGCTAGGGATAGGGTAGTAAAACAATCCTATATTGTTGAAAGTTCCACTGTTATTAATGCAAAGGGAAACTGAAGTCCTAGGTTCAAATCGCAAAATAATAGTTTAGTATTTGCAGACGTAAAAGTCTGATCGCCTAAAAAAAATATTCCACCAATCAAACTTATTTCAGTTACAGTGAAAAGTTACTATTTAAATACATACAAATTAGTCAATAGGTAGCCTAATGGCTTCAGCAAGCACCTCTGATCCCTGAGGTCGTAGGTCCCATCCCTGGCTGTGCATCAATGGACTTTCTGTTATTTGCATTTAAAATTCGCTTCTAACGGTGAAAGAAAATATCGTGAAGAAACCGGCTTTTGGACCCGAAAAGTCGACGGCTTGTGTCACGCTCAGGAGGCTGATCAGCTACTTGCCTATTAGATTGATAAATGATCATGTAACAGATACAAAGATCTGAGGCCCAGAGCTAACAAGGTTATAAGGTGGTATAATCATACCTAAGCACTATATCGGCTACCTTAGATCAGATAACCCGCTACTGGTGCAATACTGCTACGCCGTAGCTGTTTTCAGTTGTATACATTATACAATCAACATGGCATCTACGAGTTTTTTATTTATTTGTTTGTCTGTAAATTCGGTTTACGGACAATAGTTTTACGTGATAACATTGATGAAAAATTGCATACTTTTATGACTTGTATTAAATTATTATCACTAAATTATCATTATTTTGTATAATACAAAGAAGGAGTTAACGGATTTTTTTTTCGATAAATACATAAACATGACTATAAAAATAATTAAAACAAATTTTAAATGTTTGGTGTGGCAGTGTAGCTTTAACGCTGGCAGCATTTCCTCCCTGTATTGCGATACTTATTTGTTGAGCGAGGAAAGCACCAGCTCTGGGGCACTGGTACGTCGTCGGTATCGTTAATTCGAATACTTTTTTTACTTAAATCAGACAAGTAATCAGGTGCTTTTAACAACTTAAGATAAATGCCACGAGCCAAATGCTTAGTGCCTCTCTTTAGCTCGTACAGCGCTCTCGCTTGCGCAAGCGGAACGTGACAATGAAGCTCGGCTCAGGCGGAACGTGACGAGTCATGTTTTTTCCTGCGTGCGGCCCGCGTTTATCGATTTATAAGACGTTATCACATCACAGTAAATAAAATAGATATGAGTACTTAGTATACCTTATATTGAATTAAGATGGATAAAGCAGTCTGGTGGGTGATCAAATAATAATAATTTATTCGCAAGAATATGGTACAAAAATATTATGGTGGTACAATCTATGTGGAACCAGCTGCCCACTGAAGTATCTCCAAACCAATTCGACTTACAATACAAAAAAAAAATACAACTTAACATCTTACGGATGATAGTCGAAAGAATGGAGTGCCCCTATTTACGACACTGCTCCGACATCTCCGCAGGGCTTTGTACCTGATAGTTTTTATTTAACTACTTTTTCCTTATTTTTACTAATTCTCTAACATAGATCTTAAGAAACTATTGTTACTAACTCACTAATCAGTCAATGGACTGTATTTGTCTGATTAATAAAAATTATTATTATTATTATTATTATTAGGCTCAAGAAAAGAGCGTACCAATTGTGAGTGTCCATGGGCTTGTCTTAACATCAAGTGAGTCTTCTGCCCGATTACATAAAACAAAATTGCCTTTTTAGGTCTGGGCCTCAGATTCCTGTATCTGTTTCATGATCATTTGTCAATCTAATAGGCTGATCAGCCGAACATAAAAAAAGAAGAAAGAAGTTACATATTACATCACATAGTCAAAAGACAATATCCAGTATACTACGATAGGAAATATGTGGCGCCTATGCCAAACACAAAGTGTAAATTTATTCTGTAGTTCTCCAAATGCACCGTTTTCAAGAAAACTGGTTACAGATTTTAATATACCATACAAAACATATTTAAAACACTACGCATTCACTAACATTCCACCCACACACTCACTCCTGCACTCAGGCGTTGAAACAGTTGAAAAAACAAAAATAATTAAAAAAAAAAAAAAAATTTTTATGGAAGAGCTGAGGACCGTGGCAGGTATTTTTTTACTTAAAATGGTTCCCTAATCTTACACATTATAATGAATTGTTGTCAGATGAATAAACACGTTCTTATTTTATTCGCAGTTAGTTATTTTAATGCGGCGACAATGCGGCATGAAGGACCTTCGCTTTACTCGGTTTGCATGGACAATAGCCACTTATTAAAGGCACCTAAACTATATATCAGATACTATTTTAGCAGTACATTGAGAGTCTTCCATGCCGAATATTTATAACAATTTAAAACAATACACGAAACAAAACTTTGTACGAAATGAAAGCAATCTCCCGAACGAATCCATATAATGTCTCATATGATTCAAATGTTTCTAAGTTCAATTGTGTTTCCAGAAGCGTAATGTCATCGTATGTCAGCCACAAGTATCTCAGCAACTACACAATACGAAGCGGCAGTAACTATAACAACAAGGGCGGAAATATTTCAAAGGTATTGTTCACCTCGTATAATTATTTGATAATTCGAAGTACCAGGGCGTGAGGAATGAGGAGAGTTCGGCAATTATTGATTAGAGATTTTTATATACAGTTCCCTAATTGGTTAATATTATTGAAATGTAATTGGCTGATTTGTTTATAGTTAAAACGCTGTAACTGCATGTTGATCAACAAAGCTTATATTTGGTTTTTTTTTTATGTAACAGTTGTTACATTGCCAGGAGGCTCGCACGTGCGTTGCCGTCCTTTTAAGAAATAGTACGCTCTCTACTTGAAGGACCGTAAGTTGAATTGGTACGGAAATTATTCAGTGGGTAGCTAGTTCTATGATAGAAGTGGTTCGCGGCAAAAACTGCCTTAAGAAACGCTCAGTTGTGGAACGACGGACGTCGACGTGATACGGATAGTATTTTGTATTTTGCCTTGACATCTGATGATGCAAACTCAGATGCAGGTATTAGTCCGAACAACTCTTCTGAACACTATGCATGATAAATGCGGTAGAAGATGCATGGTGAAGATGTTGGTTCGATTCCCCGCAAAACAAAAATATTTCAGCTAGGTAATAATAAACGGATAAAGGACAAACAGACACAGTAAAGTGTCTTTCCTTATATTATAAAGTTTTAAGCATAAAAAGTTTTATAATTTCAGATTAAATTGTTAGTAAGCAACTATGACTTCAAAGTATGCGCCACGAAACTAGCTGAACCCCTGGTTTTTGACGCGAGAGTACAAGCTGTAAATATTCCGCGAACTGATGATGAAGTATCCTTGGGCTATCTTACTTCACTAATAGCTTGGACACCAACTGGGGTACGTTGCATCAATCATAATTCTCGTATAAAAAAGATATAAGCTAATCGAAATTGTGTTTAGAAAAGATTTTTTAAAAAATATTACCATAGTTTTCCTAATTAACAGTTTAGTATATGGTAAGTGAATAGTTAATAATATTTTTTTTAATGTAATAGGAGGCAAACGGGCAGGCTCTCTTGATGTTAAGTAATATCGCCGCCCATAAAACTATTTGAGAAATTAGCATTGTAGAGACAAAATAATCAAAAAGAAATCGTATTTTCTAAAGTTATAACAAATAATTCTTGTGTAAATATAAATTCCAGTTACAACGGTCAAGATTCAAATGCAAAATCTCGCTTAGAATCATATCTTTGATCTGATAAAAATGGTAATAAAGGCAGACCGATAAATCCTCAACTTTACAATGGTCATAAAATCATGTGATATACGATTTCTAGGGTAGATGTCTTTGTGAATAAAACCTATTGTTGGTGTATATTCTAGAAAGTGTATTCCGTTGTTTTATTAGTACAATGACGTGTTTAATAGTAATAATATTAATAATGCCCGTTCGTTTGCAATCTTTAAAAATGTACATTTATTTTTTTTTTTTTTTTTTTTTTTTTTTTTTTTTTTTTTTTTTTTTTTTCCCCCCCCCCCCTTCTTCTTTTTTTTTTTTTTTTTTTTTTTTTTTCTCCCCCCCCCCCCCCTCTTTCTTTTTTTTTTTTTTTTTTTTTTTTTTAGGGCTTCTTCCCTTCCTTTCCCTTGGCTCTTTCCATATAGTCCATCTTTTATCTATGCATCTATGCCCATTGCCACTTCTATTTTAAGGTGTGAAGACGTGTTTAATACATCTAATTTCTTAAACATAGATCGAATATCACAAATACATATTTTTCAGCACATTCGAGTGGTGAACGCACCAGTAATTGATCCTACCATTTGTGACTCTACCAAGCTGTTACCAGGAAACTATATTTGCATTGGAGGTGTTCAAGATCCCAACAGGCACTTTTGCAGGGTAACAATTATTATATATATTCCTTATTCAGACATAATCAAAAACAATCAGCAATAGCGGAAATTTTACGTAAAAATGATTGGTGCATAAAATTGGGACCCCTATTTACTTAATTCATGTTAGTATTTTTAAATCCCAGTGTATGGACGAAAAGTCCAACACCGAACAAATTCTAGGAATGAAATAAACTTCTTATGATGTTGAAAAATTTCTGAAAATATAATACAAAATAATAACAGAAATAAGTACTTAATCATAATAGTTACAAATGTAATGATAATATATCAAAGAAGTTATTGCCTCTGACGTAAATATAGTCCGAGAATTAGCCAAAGAAAATATATAAAAACTCGAGAGAATGTATGATTATGATTTGTACTTAGCACGTGTGGTTAACTTCTAAATCAATGTATGTAACTAACAGCCACATCGAGATGAACCTTTGATTTGAATCAAGTATTCGATCTTAGAAGATTCAGAAACCGTCCACATCAGCTAGTAGTATATGTTACTATAATAGTATAGTATTACTATAATAGACATAGTTTTTATAATTATAGAAATATTCCGGAAATTTGTCGAATCACGGCTCCACCTTAGAACCACTCCAAATTTTTGTAATATCATTCTTTACGACTTGTATGTAGATTAAGTAATATTAAGGCCCTATCCCAGCACGAATTGCTGTGTCAGTGTCTCGGGGTGGACTGCGGGGCGCAGTGGAGAGCTGGAGCACTAAGGCGTGCCGTAATAACAATTAGTTTTATATGAAAACATTAAATTAATGTAATTTCATAATTTTTTTGCTGACATGGATTGCTTGGACTTATACTTTGTTGGAGTTTGGAGACCAGATAGATCCTAAAGAGGGGCATGGCTTGGACCCCTTATAAAAATTAAAAAAAAAACTACATGCATGATGTAAATGATATTGTCTCAGTTCTCAGTGAATTAGTACATTAGGGTTTTCTTTAAATATTATTTTTAGTTATTTTGATTCTATGTGGCGTTTGTGATCAGGTTTGGTTAAGTTAGGTTAACGCCAAAATTTGTAACTTATTTCATAATTTCACAAATCACGATGTTTTAATTAATTTATATGGGGTTAAAGAGCATGCGCCACCACATTATTGCATGGTACACCATTTCCGAGTGATGAAATTATGTAGAAAAAAATTTGGAGCTGTTTTAAGGCGGAGCCGTAATTGGACAAATTTACCAAATAAACTGAAGGGGTTGGAGGTAAATTGGTTTGTTATGATAATATTTGGGTTCTGTTAAATTTCCTTATACAACGTTGCATATTACACTACAAAAACATTCTGTACTATCCAGCCGTCCCATCTATAGAATTTGAATATCTTAAACCGTTGTTGAGGAACGAAGGTGCTGCTCTTCTTCCGACCTAAAAAGAGGATCTTCCACTATTCTAACCACTGACTATCCCGAATCAGTTGGTCTAGTGGCTTCAACGTGCGACTCTCAACTCTGAAGTCGTAGGTTCGAACCCCGGCTGTGAAACAATGGACTTATATTATATATACGCATTTAACATAAACTCGATGGGGAAAGAAAACATCGTGAGGAAACCGGCTTGCCATATTCCTCACGCAACAAGTCGACGGCGTGTGTCAGGCACAGGAGGCTAATCACCTGCGTATTAGATTGACAAATGATCATGAAACAGGTACAGAAATCTGAGGCCATACCTAAAAAGGTAGTGCCACTGATTTTGGCCCGAAAGCCCCACTGCCTAAGGGCGATAAGTGATATTAGCGAGCGGAATTACTTTGCGTTTCAGACTATGACGTCATTGCAGTGATTTGCAGCCGCTACAATTCCAATTACACAGCTCGATGTTTCTATCTCCCTTTAGGTGCTTAAGCCATAAAACAACATATTAAACTTTCAGAAAGACAACGGCGGCGCTGCCATACAAAACAACACTTTAATCGCTATAACCGCTTTTCTGCACACCTGTGCACTTTATACGAAAACCCACGCCTTCCCCAAAGCCGCTAGCTTCGCTAAATGGGTCGACACTGTCATTTGGGACGAAGACAATCGACCAACAACTACAACTGTGGCTACCACCACCACTATCAGCACGACGGAAGATAGGAATCCATATTTTGGTGACCCAAGGAAATTTATGCTGACGCTGCCTTTTGACCCAGTCAATGTCCCCTTGCAACCCGCTGAAGACAATTCAGTCTTGCCAAGGATGAGCCTCTACGAGTCGTATTTACATAACTTGGCTATAATGAGAACATCGACTACTGTCAATCCAAAAATCGAGGAGAAAAGGAAATGGTTAGAGAAGTTCGGGAAAATGGTATCAAAACAATTTCCTAAGAAGTATGATTTTGACTATAATTAATGCTCTTAATAAAATTGACATTAAATTGATATTTAATCCTTTGTTAGTTATATTTGATAGCTCTAGTATAATCTATACCAGTGATTTCCAAAGTGGTCTATATCGACCCCTAGGGGTCTATGACAACCTGCAAGGGATCTACGTCAGCGAAAAAAAATTTGGGGATCCATGAAATGAAAATGTGGGTCCAAGATAGTGGATATCAACACATACACTGATAGTACAAAGCGCAGCGCTGTTACCAATCTCCTAACGAAGAAAAGAAACAGGCTGGACATCATTAGCCGAGGAGATTTAAGATTAACCCTTACAAAATTTACGCCAAATGTTGATTATTTATTATTAAAGCATCAGGTTCATCCTTCTCACTAAAAATATTGACTTATTGGTTTATAGTTTATTTAATGCTACGTATTTTATATAACAGATACAAAATTTTATTTTGAGTAGTTTTAATTTAAATTCAATTAATATATATATATGTATAAATTAACATGTGTTTTACTTTAAGTTTTTAACACTAAACTTCACTTAGAAATTTACAGGAAATCAATATCAGGTAAGTAGGGGGTCTACCCAACACGGAAAAACATGGCAAGGGGTCTACGACACAAAAAAGTTTGGGGAACTCTGATCTATACTAATGTAATAAAGAGGAAAAATGTGATGTTTTTGTCTGTGAATAAATTATTATATGTAAATAAAGGCTATTATCATAGATAAACGCCTTTATATTCCCAAAACTTAATTATGAGCATAAATGTTTCATAGATTTTGAATTTAATAAAAGTAACTTTTAACATTAGGTTAAATACACTTTAACATTTAGGAATCATCGTTTGCTTGTCAGGTTTTGGTTTGTCCACTGTTGTTTTGGTTTTGGTTTGTTGATGTTGAGTCTGGGGGGCTGTGGGGCTGTGGGGTTGAGGCTACACTCAAAGCCCTCTGCTGTTCAGAGAGTTAGCGAGACCATAGGGAGGGTGTAGGCGACCACACGCCCTTAAGATAAGAAGCCCGAGGGCCCTCGGGGTTGGTATGGGCATTCAACCCAAGAGACCTGGGTTTATATGAGACATAGAGCTCAATTAAGACCTGCGGTTTTGGGCCGCGCAAGACCGAGCACTATAAACTCCGTACTGATAAGTGTGAATTGAATGACTGACACAATACTGTATCACTGATACTGAGCTGAGCGGACACGTTGACGGAACTGTGGCTTCACTGATATATGTGAATCGAGCTTTAGAACTCTATGTTATCCCTGATGAACATATGCTATAGGGTATTTTTTTTAAAGTTAGGATTCTGTATGATATCACCGTAGTATAAAAGTTCCTTTATCATGTACGCAGTAACATTAGCTCGAACGGTGAAGGAAAACATCGTGAGGTAACCGGCTTGCCTTAGACCCAAAAAGTGGAAGGCGTGGAACGGATACAGAAATCTGAGGCCTAGACCTAAAAAGGTTGGCTTTTGGCTATAGAACATTGTGTTATCGAATCAATGCGGTTGGAACCGCATATCACAGCTAGTTTAAATATAAAAGTAAGAAGTCATATATTAATTTTATTTCCCCCGTAACTAAACCCACGACTGATCGTTGTATAAAATAAACAACTGTGGTCCCACTCAACGTACGCGTACTTTTAGATTGCCGTCGGCACAATAATTGCCAATACAGTGCCACATACTTTTCTTGGCCGGTAAGAGCATCGCTGTCATGGATATTAGTATTGCCAGTAAACAAAAATTAACTTATTATTATGGGGAATAATTTGAAATCATACAGGCTAACTTAATAATATTGAAATGTCTTAATAAAACAATGTATACTAGTATCTAGCAAATACAGTTCTAGGCTTAAATAAATGTGACACAAACTTAGGAACAACTGATATGATGGGTTTTGTTACCTGTACTATTAATATATTTTAAGATACCTAGCAATCAGAACCGTTCGATAATTACAACTTTGGTATTGTAATTAATAATGCAAGAAATAAAAATAAATACATTTTAGTTGGTTTTTATTAGATGTTGGTAGATAATAAAATTTGTAGTTGTATTTGCGAGCTAACAGACAATGTCAGTCTGACATTTCAAAATGGCGACGGTAGTTCTAATTTCAGCCGCCGGCCAAGAAAAGTGGCACTGTAAGTAGTCGTAGATGTCTATTAACAGCATCAACAGATTAATGAATAGACATTTATTTGCCCCAGGCTGCAATAACGTCCACAAAGACGTCATATTGTTCACATGGTCCGGAACAACATTAACTACCTTATTATAAATCGTGTTCCTTAGATAATATGGATCATTTTTTGTTCCATGTACAACTAATAATAATTGTCACACAAAGTTGGTACCTGTACAAGCCAAGGCTGTACATTTTGCTCTCAGGCTTTCATAGTTAGAAGCGTGGCGATTTCCTAAATCGTCGGAGTTACGCCCCGAGAGTATAGCGAGACGTAGGCACTCTCTTCGACTGTTATATTGCATTCATTCGTTACATAATAATAATAATAACCATTATTGCTTTAATTACTTATAACAGTACATAAAAATTAAAAATACTAAAAAATTAACATTAAAAATAAAAAATAAATACTAATAATTAATCGGCAAGCCGTTTGATTTCTGTTATACAGCTTGTCCTTGGACATAGGCCTCCTCTCAGGGCTTCCACTCTTCTCTGTTTCTAGCTTTACGTAGCCACATAGGGCCAGCTGCTCTTCGCACATCATCGCACTCAAGCTATTAACAGTTCAGTATTTCGCTTACCTATATGCTATTGTTGTACGCGAGTGGTTAAGATAGAGTAAAAATAAAATCCTCTATTATTTAAAGCACCCCGATGACCCGGAACCGTACAGTAAGAGGAAGTTGTCTTCAATGCTGAAATCAACTGCTATTCTTAAGATATCCTATAGGAAACCTTTCCGCTACTCAACTTCAAAATTGTACTACGAATCAAAACTTTTTGGAAACAAACACCCGCCCCACTACATCAAACACAACGCAAATCTATATATAAGCAACCCAAAAAACGCACTTTCTTCGCCCAACGCTTTTCCTCCTTCCGATGTCCTTTCATCTTTAACCACTTTCTTAGGAATTAAATTTTTATTTACATTTAGTAAGAATCTCAAACATTATCTTGTCAATCTGTCCTATGCTGGTACCGAAAATATTCTTAGTGTGCAAAAATAGTTTAAATATAATTAGTGTTACGTAGAAATCATGAAGTAAAATATAGTATACATGTCCAGAGGAAGAGACAGGCTGCCCACAACACGGGTAATCCTAGTGTGGGGCTAGTGCGCATTACTTTACCTAAACATCTCATCATCAAGTTCTCTTTCTTTTCTTTTTTTCTTTTCTTTAGTTGCAGAGTCGGGCCTCAGCGCGAACTATGACTTTCGCATGTCTAAAACTTTGGATACGGCCGCTTATGCTCTTGAACGGGTGCTGCTTGTGGTGACTGGTCGTACTTGAATTCGTGTATGCGGTGATGTTGGTTATTTCGACTATGTGTTTGCGTGTTGTTCCCACGAGAATTTAAGTGCGTGCTCCTATTTCACCATGCCTTCTGCTGATAGAGGACAAATCTTTGTTTTTAATTTATGTTATTATTATTAATATAATAAAGGACAGTGAACTACGTAGGGTGCAGCCGAGGGATGCAAAAAAATGCAAATTTACTTAAAAACTATATTTAAAAGAAATTACAATTAATTAAAATTACAAATAAGTGCTAAATGATCGATGTTAGATCTAATTATGAAACTAATAAAAATGGAATCCGATATTGTGCGGGGCGATTGACGTCACCGACACATTCCGCTGACCATGCGCCTCGTGCCTCCATTGGTGCCGTGTGGAATGTTTGTCGGGCCGATGCAACGCTGCGATTTAGGCGAGGTGGCTTTGCGTAACACCTCCCCGAAGAACAGCGACTATTGCAGGACTCGTCCGAGATGGTCGCTGAGATGCATCTGTGGTCCATCTTCACTTGGTTAGGGTTAATGCCCCGAGGTGTTGGGGTTGCGATCAATATTTCAGGATCACTGGTAGGGGCTCCTGCAGTTTCATTGCCTTTTGTCGATCCTCTGGTGTAGCAGTACAGCGCAGCGATGAATGCGCCTGCACAGAGTAGTATTAAGTAGATGGGGATAGTTGTGTGATATATAGCTGGATCAGTTACGTCATCGAGATGGATGGATGGTTCAGCTGCTACTTCTGTATCCAAGGAGTGGAGTTTTTGCAGATTAAGTGAATTGAGGATAAGCTTTGGATGTTCTTTGGGCCTCGGCTCGTTATACAGAGGCATTTCCGTTATCCTTATGACATGTCCTTTTTATTTGATCGTTATTGTTGGAGATAGTGAATGCGGGCGTCTTCAGGTTGCAGTTCAATGGAATAATTGCAAGGAAGCTCCCTTGTAGGGTCCAGTATTGTTCTTGGCCGCATGATATTTTCACTTTAGTTGGTGCTGGAAAGCTCATTGTGTAGTGCTTGTCATCTAAAGCTTCCAGGGCTTCGGTTGTTAGAGTTACTGGAGTCAGTTTGCATGTCGGCTGGACTTCTTGGTGAGTAATGAGTTGTTGTATGCAATCGGGCTTCTCCTGGATTTTGAAGTTAAATTTGGCCTCGCAGAGAAATAGTGAGTTTAACTTCGGACATTCTGTCTCTATGTACCGAGAGTCTTGGCAGAGAGTGCTATATAAGGTAGGGTAGGTATCAGGATTTCATGATTTTTGTTAGGAACAAGGGATAATTTATAAAAGTTCATATGATAAAGGAACGATAATTGGGACCTTTATAACTATGACTACTTGCTTAACGTAAAAATAACCTAATTTAACTATTTCATAAAACTGTCTAAATCTACGTCAAGGACTTCATTACTAGAGTATAAAATCCTAAGTTTACCTAACATATCTTTAACGTTATTTAAACTAAAAATAGAATATGAAGTGCTCGATGCACGAATAAAAGAT